AGAGAGACAGAGAGAGACAGAGAGACAGAAAGCAAGAAATCACCCCCTTAGGGGGGATGGTCATACTGCAATCCCTTCTCCTCCTGAGAAGAGAGTGGAGGAGAAGGGATTGTGGCATGGCCATCCCCCCTGGGAGGGGATTTCTCACCCTGTCTCTATCTCTCTCTGTCTTTCTAGTGAGCACACGCACCCTGTAGCAAAAACCTCTCCCCAAAAATATTGCTTCTTCATTGCTGATTAGCTTTATCTAGTTCTTTTCTCTGTTCTTTTTTTAAAAAAAGATTTATTTTATTTAATTTTATTTATTCTTTCATTTATTTTAATTTGACCAGAGAGAGAGACACAGAGAAAGAGAGAGAGGGAAAGTGAGAAAGCAAGCTACCAGATCCAGGACTTGAACCATGGTCAGTCATGTGGGAGTGTCCAGCACCCTAACCACCATGCCACCAGCTGTTCCCTGCTTTTCTTTATTCTTAATTAGTCTAAGACTAATGTATCAATTTTGTTTATATTCCCAGAAAATCAGCATTTGGTTTCATTTCTTTTCTGTTCAGTTTGTTTATTCTCCATTTCATTTATTTCTATTTGAAATTTGATCATTTCTTTTTGCCTGGTATTTTTATTTGTTTATTTCTTTTTCCAGATCCCTGAGATGTGTCCTTAGGGTGTGTATTTGCCACTGTAAGGAATGGACCGAGCATGCAAGAAAACAGAAATGCAGTGCTTTTACTGGGAGTGCTCCTGGGTGAGGTTTGCTGGTCTGACAGAAAGGGAGAGAGAGGGAGGGAGACGGGCCAGAGAAGTTGTGCGTTAGGGCAGGGCTTAGTGGTTTTTATAAGGGTATAGGGAGAGGGAGTGTCTTAGAGGTAGAAACAGTCCATGTATGGTAAAGGTTTAGAGGGAGAGCAAACTAGTGTGCCATGCGTGGTCTGGTGACGTGTGCAGAGTGGAGCCCCGTGTTCAGAGTAGAGCACCATATGCAGAATACAGTGTGTTAGGCCGAGTTAGCATACATGAGGCTGAGTTAGTTTAGGCCGATTTAGCATCATCACCCATGCTAGGGCTGTTAGGCTGAGTTAGCATAGGCTGAGTTAGCGTATTGACCGCCATGATAGGGCTTTGAGAATGGGGCCCCGGAGCTCGTAAATAAACAGAGGACAGGAATTCATAAATAAACAGAGGATGGGCAGGCCAGGCGGCACCAAGACAAGGTTTCCCTAACTTTAACTGGGAGTTCTTATCTAGATTCAAGCAGGCGATAACAGCTGGACCCTATAACTGCACATACCTCCTCCTTGGTGTGCTGCATACTATGGAAAGTTACTGACAGTATATCCTATATTGCCTCCTGAGCTATAAAAGGCCCCTCTCTATCCTAGGTTCAGGGTCCTTGTTGCAACCCACCGCGTCGGGCAAAGACTCGGACCCCAGCTAGCTGGAAAAATAAATGTCTCTTCTGCAGTTGCATTGTCATCGTCTTCTCTTCGTCACCACTAGTTAGAGATCGATCATTGAACCCTAACAAGTGCACGGGCAGAGTAGAGCACATGTGCTACATTTGGGTTAGCTCTGAGTACAACGCAGTTCTTTTTTTTTTTTTGGAGAGGTTTTTGCTATAGGGCGCGTGCGCTCGCCAGACAGACAGAGAGAGAGACATAGAGACAGAAAGCGAGAAATCACCCCCCCAGGGGGGATGGTCACGCCGCAATCCCTTCTCCTCCATTCTCCTCTCGGGATCTTGGGCACGCACGCACACGCGCCCGGTGTGAGATTTAAGCCACCGGGCCCGAGACGCGAACCGCAGTCGACTACGTGGGAGTCCAGCGACATAGCCATTACGCTAACTGCTGGTTCCCAATACAACGCAGTTCTGATCGACAGACTAGATCCGGGTTGCAGCAGCCCACTGGTGTGGTGTCTAACCCCCACATCCAAGCTGCCCAGGCCTCTAGCCTAACAGTCCAACTGTTCTGGTGTTATGGGGCGCCGTTCAATCATTAACTCCTTCCTACTGAGTTTGGGCGAAGAGGGGAAGTCAGAGGCTGGGGGCTTGGTGGGAACTTGTGTGCAGGGGTGGAGGAGCATTTGGTTGACAGCCACCTGGGAAACTTGTCGATTCGTCTCTGGAGGAACCTGAGGAAACAGGGTGTAAGCAAGAAGAGAAGGGGATGAGAATGAATGGTCCTAAAATAGGGGCCATCCAGGTGATGAGGGTAGATTGCCACCAGTCTGGGAAAAGAGAAGTGGGCTGTTGCCGCTGTCACCGTAGTTCTTCACTTAGACGACTGAGAACGTCGATGCTTTGTTCAATCAGCCCTGACTTGTTGATGTAGTAGCAGTATTCTTCCCCGAGGAACAGACTGTTGTCCTCTTTTTCTCCCATCAGTAGTAGGTTTAGGGCATATCAGTTTTTTTTTTTTTTTTAAATAATTGTTTATTTTTATTTATTCATTCATTTATTTTAATTTGACCAGAGAGAGACACACAGAGAGAAAGAGAATGTGAGAAAGCAAGCTACCAGGTCCAGGACTCAAACCGTGGTCGGCCACGTGGGAGTGTCCAGCATCTTGACCACCACGCCACCTGCTGGTCCCAAGGCATATCGATTTTGAAGAAACTATTTTCTCCACTGAAGCGATTTGTCACTGGAGGGCGGCCATGACCGGTTTAGAAGTGTCCCAGACAGGAACCGGCAGTTAGCATAATGGCTATGTTGTTGCACTCCCATGTAGTTGACTGCCGTTCGAGTCCCAGACCCGGTGGCTTAAACTCATGCCGGGCGTGTGTGCGTGCATGCCCAAGATCCCGAGAGGAGAATGGAGGAGAAGGGATTGCGGTGTGGCCATCCTCCATGGGGGGGTGATTTCTCACTTTCTATCTCTCTGTCTCTGTCTTTTTGGCGAGCATATGCACCCTATAGCAAAAACCTCTCCGGGAAAAAAAAATAAAAATAAAAAGAAGTGTCCCAGACAACAGGGTTAACTTTTTCAGGGGGAAGAGGAAAGGAGCGAGGGCTGGAGAGAGCGGAGTCAATGAATGAGCAGATGAGAGGGAGGAGAAAGTGAGCGGCAGGGACTGCAGCCGGAAGTTGGAGGGTAACTCCCAATTGGTGAAGGATGTCTCTGCCCAGGAGGGGAACCGGGCATGATGGCATAACTAGGAAGGAATGGGAGAAAGTTCATCCTTCTACATGGCAGGCTAGGGTGGCTGACCTAGGTGGGCAGGAGAGTGTGTCATCTATTTCCATGACTGAGATCTGAGAAGGAAAAAGTGGCCCCAAATGGGAGGGTAGGATGGAAGAAAGGAGATGGACTTACCTGCCCTGACCCGCAGGTGAAGTCAGTCTCATTTATTAAGGAAGAATTGTGAGCTTATATACAGGCTGGGGGGGCCCGCTTTGGTGGCCCGACAGGCCCGAAATGCAGATGAGATAAAACAGTATGAGCCAATCATGTGGGTGGATCTCTCCCATTGCCTAGGAACAGTTGGTCACATGATTTCTGAGAAATGGTTTGCTCAATGAGGAAGTGAAACCTAAGGTTTCTAAGATGGCGGACAGCTCTCAAGATGGCTTCCATATGCAATGCCCTCCACACTCACCCACTACCTGTAGCATTACTCTGGACTTGGCGAGGGTGATGGGGGTCTTTGAGTCTGGGCCTCTTTAGTCAGAGGCTAGTCCCCACAGCTCCCAAGAGGGGACCACCTGGCTGACTCTTTCTCTATGTGGAGTTGCCAGGGATGAGTCACCCATTGGGCACTCACTTCTCCAATG